TAATAATAAAGATAGTCATGCTAGTTTAACACTATCCAGTTAATAATAAAGATAGTCCTTCTAGTTTAACAGTATCCAGTTAATAATAAAGATAGTCCTTCTAGTTTAACAGTATGCATTTAATAATAAAGATAGTCCTGCTAGTTAAATAGTATCCAGTTAATAATAAAGATAGTCCTTCTAGTTTAACAGTATGCATTTAATAATAAAGATAGTCCCGCTAGTTAAATAGTATCCAGTTAATAATAAAGATAGTCCTTCTAGTTCAACAGTATCCAGTTGATAATATAGTCCTTCTAGTTTAACAGTATCCAGTTAATAATATAGTCCTTCTAGTTTAATAGTATCCAGTTAATAATAAAGATAGTCCTTCTAGTTTAACAGTATCCATTTAATAATAAAGATAGTCCCGCTAGTTAAGTAGTATCCAGTTAATAATAAAGATAGTCCTTCTAGTTTAACAGTATCCAGTTAATAATATAGTCGTTCTAGTTTAACAGTATCCAGTTAATAATATAGTCCTTCTAGTTTAACAGTATCCATTTAATAATAAAGATAGTCCCGCTAGTTAAATAGTATCCAGTTAATAATAAAGATAGTCCTTCTAGTTTAACAGTATCCAGTTAATAATATAGTCCTTCTAGTTTAACAGTATCCAGTTAATAATAAAGATAGTCATGCTAGTTCAACAGTATCCAGTTAATAATAAAGATAGTCCTTCTAGTTTAACAGTATCCAGTTGATAATATAGTCCTTCTAGTTTAACAGTATCCAGTTAATAATAAAGATAGTAATGCTAGTTCAACAGTATCCAGTTAATAATAAAGATAGTACTTCTAGTTTAATGGTATCTAGTTAATAACAGAGAGTAATACTAATTTAATGGTATTTAAGTTAATAATTTTCGTACTAGTTGTATGAGGGTGTTTATTTAAGTTTGGATGCTAGTTGTGTCCAGTTAAAAATACAAGATTTAGTTTCAGGGTAATAAGTTAACTACTAAAGATCCCCAGTTTATTAAAGTTATGTAATAGTGATAACAATTTTCGACAAGAGTACAATAATAAAATATACATCAGATTTTCTCAGCAGTTTGTAATTATCATTTGTATTTTTATATTAAATAAATGGTTATCAGTAATTGTGTCAGGAATTCTTTTCGTTCTTTCAACAAACTTGTAGATATTTCTGTGAATCTGAAAGGCACATTCTGCCATGGGAAATAGTACTTCAGTTATAATAGAAGTTGCTTAGTTAAATCTATGTGTAATTAAAGCTTTGGAAAGTATTACACTCAGAAGAAACAAAACCGTTAAGATATGTAGACAATTCCCAAGATGATTTATTAACAGAAATGTATTTAGAGAAGACCAAAGATTTTTACGAGTGCTGTTGACAATTTAAAGTACCATAATGAAGAAAGTGAAGACCAAAGATTTTTAACAATGCTGTTAACAACTTAAAAGTAGTGATAATGAGGAAACCAGATTTACAGTATTTTCTTCCAGTAAAAAATACCTTGTTTGTTTTTTTTATGATGTTTTTGGGTAATAGTTTTTTATGCATCTACCTAAGACACAGCAAGGGTGTTAAAACATCTGGTGACACTTGAAATAGATGTTATTCTATTAAGATTATGATTAAAACACTGTAAAACTTAAACATGAATATTAATTGCTGTTTTTTCCGTTTGGGGAATGGGTAAGAAATTATTAAGACCAATATAACACCGTCCAGTTAAATAGAAAAAGTTATTCTAAGCACATAATTTATTTTCATCATTCTTTTATAGGTTTTGTTATAGTTCAAGATTACAAAATGTCACATAGCTGAGACTAATATCCTCAACAGTTTATAATATAGAATATCATATCTATTAATTCATTGAAACTATACATGTACAGTGACATGTTTAAATGTACTTGCATAGAAACATTATGGATACACAATTATATAGGTTTATTGTTTCAGGATTCTGGCAAACATGACTGAAGTAACATTAAAAGTATGTTATAGTATTGCTGTAATACAGGGTTCTGGTAAATGTAATGAAGATAACAATAAAATTACATTAAGGAGTTGTTATAATAAAGGGTTCTTGTCAGCATGATTAATGTAACAATTAAGGAATGTTATAGTGTTGCAGTAATAGAGGTTTCTGGCATTGTATACTTAAGAGAACAATAAGATTATCTTAGTTTAGCAGTAATATTCCAACAAAATTCAATTAGCACAATTGTTTTAAAAATACACTTATTTTTCATTAAGAATTATATATTTATCATTTTGTTGGGAGCATAGTTGGTAAAAACAAAACATTTTATTGACAAGCAGATGATTTCAAAGTGTGTGAAATAAAATGTGATCTAGCTATTTCTTGACGTATATATTACAGAATACATTACATTCAAGCAATTTCTTGACGTATATATTACAGAATACATTACATTCAAGCTATTTCTTGACGTATATATTACAGAATACATTAAATTCAAGCTATTTCTTGACGTATATATCACAGAATACATTACGTTCAAGCTACTTCTTGACGTATATATCAGAATACATTACGTTCAAGCTACTTCTTGACGTATATATCAGAATACATTACGTTCAAGCTACTTCTTGACGTATATATCAGAATACATTACGTTCAAGCTACTTCTTGACGTATATATTACAGAATACATTACGTTCAAGCTATTTCTTGACGTATATATTACAGAATACATTACATTCAAGCTATTTCTTGACGTATATATCACAGAATACATTACATTCAAGCTATTTCTTGACGTATATATCACAGAATACATTACGTTCAAGCTATTTCTTGACGTATATATCACAGAATACATTACGTTCAAGCTATTTCTTGACGTATATGTCACAGAATACATTACGTTCAAGCTATTTCTTGACGTATATGTCACAGAATACATTACGTTCAAGCTATTTCTTGATGTAGATGTTACAGAATACATTGTGTATACGTGTATTAAAATTATTTACATTTTTGATGCTGTATAGACTGTTGCCATATTGTATGTAGAACATTCTTTTAGCTGGTTGCCCAATTATATGTCTGTCAAAGTGTAAACCATTTAGCATACACACACATTCTTCGTATGTAATCTTAAGTTATTAATTTGTGAAAGAAAAAGAGAATGTTTTCCTTTAAGAGAACTTTTAAGTGGTTTACTGAACAGAGAAATGTATTGTTATGGAAACATCTATACTGATGATTTGGAGAATCTGGATATAATCTAATCTTTAGTCAAGTTACAGATGACTGTTGGTTTTAATAACATTAGTGATTAGTTGTTCAGTGTGTGTTCTTGTAAGAAATCCATTGAAAGTAGCTTACTATTTCTTTTTTGTGATGAAATTGAGCAGCTAGGAAGAATGATATGCATGATTTTCAAATATTAAGTGATTGATGTTTAATAAGGATGATGTATGATCTTTTGCTGTTGATGAAGGAGTTGCTGTGATGTGACTAGTCTGGTAGAGTTGTACCTAGTGTTATCAACAAATTTAATCTTTTTGTGGACCAATCTTTATTTTTTCTATAACTTGAAAATTAAAGTGAGGTATGTTAAGCCTAACTAGTTATTTAGTTACTTGTGAAAGTTCAAAGGTTAAAAGTTGCATGGACTCTAGATTAAAAAAAAACTCTTGTAAAAAATTATATTTGTGAAAATATGTTAGTCATTGTTCTAATACAGGCTATTTAATTATTAATGATTCCGGACTTTGTACTTTAAATATGTATTATCTTATTTGGAATAAACAATAGATGAACACCACATGTTGAAGATGTTTGGTTCTCTTATTAAAAACAAACTTAACTGAAAGTTCAAGACATGCATACAAGTTTCGTTTTGCATAATCATTTAATATTGTTGATAAGGGATGCTACATCCACCACAAGCATTAAGAGAACAAGTAAGATGTATGTTTTAAACAGAAAAGAATAGATCATACAACATCA